TGTTTTAATTTTCATGACACAGATGTCAAAAAACTGATAAATTGAATATCCTGAAATCTATCATTCCGTATGTTGACTAACTGAATGTACATATACAAAATGATTTTCCATTTCTTCTTTAAAGTTGTGGTTTCTATTTGACAATTATACAGTTATCATTTCAAGCTACTGTTTTTGAAATAAAACTGTTTAAATTCACATGCTGAATTCCAATTGTGCAACTGAAGCCAATTTTAAAGCTTGCCAATTCAACTGTTTTATCCTGACATGACGACATTTCTACATTGAATAAATGAAATAGAATAGAAATTCAATTTACGTTCATAGCTGTTTGAAAATTTCCCTTTTTATGCAACATGAAATCAAAGATAGATATTGGAGAAAGAAAAATTTTCTTTAACAGGTCCCTAAATCTGCATCAAGCAGCGTGCATCCATACCTTCAGCCTCAAACTCCGAACAACAGCATCTCCTACCCAGATTTTTTTGATTGCACCAGCGGCTTTTTAGAAGTGGGTTTACATAAAATGGTAAAATTGGCCTCGGTGGTAAGTTAGTACATTCAAAAAATGCTGATAACGACAACCTGAACAAACAACCTAAATGAATTTTGCTCATTATCCTTACAGCCAAATATCAGATGAGATGCAATCATGACAGTCCAGGTTAGGTTCAATCTCAGGGCCATCTAACCTACTGCACAGAGTCTTTTCTTTCCTTTCTTTAATTTCCAAATTGATATCTGTGGGTTTACCTGAGAAGAATAATGTGCAACATTAAATCCTTACTATGTACTACAAATCACAGAAAAGACAGAAGCATGAGTAGAGCAAATGCCCTGTTTCTCCAACTCTGCCATTCAACCTAAATCACAGTTGATCTTGGGCTGCAACTCCACTTTTTCGGTTGCACCCCTCTTCCCTCAATTCCCAACACCACCAAAAATCCGCCTGTTTCAGCCTTAAATATATCATTATGATCCTAGCTAGACAAGTCAGATAACCAGAGAGAAATCTAGCTTGATAGGTCATATTTTATTTTTAGTTTATTGTGATGATCTTTCACTGAAATATAAGCACAATGTGGATTTGTTTCTAACAATAAAATAGAAGATTAGTATATAAGTGAAATTGAAATGGAACTAAACAAGCTATGCAGAACAGTTTGAAAAATATTAAAACACAATATAACAATTCAATAAGATCTACAGAAATTTTCCCTCCTTGCCCAAACTGTAGGTTTGACTTAATTGCTTAATTCCTTCCAGCGAGCTATGAAATCTTTTCCCTTGAATGCACACACATCAGAGAGCTTAAATTTTCTCAGCTTTGAATAACCTGCAGAGTTCCAACCAAAAGCTCTATGATCTGAAAGCCTTCATAAGCTGTAGGCCTTACACCAAGGTAATCTTTTCCCTTAACTACTTCGAACAATCTTCTTTTCTAGACAATTTTTTCTTACACCTGACTTCAGTAACGTCTCCTGTAAAATGAACCCCAAAGCTTTTGAGCTAAATTTTTTTTTAAAAAAACTTGCTCATCCTGGATTCTGCTACAGTTAATGGCCTAATGCTTTCTTTGTCCTGCCATAAGCCCTCACAGTATAAACAAACCTTCAGTAACACTCCAGGTATCCTTGTAGTCACAACTCTGTCACATACTAGTTTAAAACCATGGCTCCAAAAGAGACCTCCTTCATTTTTAAAACCCCTTCACAAAATTCCCATATGCCACTAGTTTGAAATCTTCGAACAAATTCAACATAGAAGAAAGGAAAGCCCTGGAAAGACTCAAGAAAGACAGGAATATTGTAATCTTACCAGCAGACAAAGGACGCATGACAGTAATCCTCAATAGAACCCAATATATCAAGAAAGCTAATGCACTACTAGCAGATACCGACACCATAGCTAGGAAACCGGATTACAACGACCCTGAAGAAATTACAAAACTCAGGAGACATCAGCAAGACAGACTACCAATAAAAAGTGAGGCCAGAGGGATCTAACACACCCCGATTTTACGAACTCCCCAAGGTATACAAACAGGGGGCCCCCTCAGACCCACTGTCTCACTGCCAGGCATACCAACATATAGATTTGCCAAAGAACTACAGCAAAAATTGAAATACTTAGTGGACAACACTAACCACTCTATTCACTCATGCCAAGAATTCCACAACATCAGAGGACACCAGGACAGATGAGGACAAGATGATAATATCTTTTGACATAACAGTACTATTTACAGCCATAAACATCGACCTAGCCAAACAGACAATCACCACATTGCTAGACGAATCAAGCAGGCAGACAACTCAGGACACCAACAACAGTAAGGACACCACCATGAAACTACTAGATTTGTGCCTCACAGCCCACTTGACCTTCAACGACAATACATATAAACAAACAAATCAACGGAACACCAATGGAATCCCCAAAATCAGGACTGATTGCAGGAGCAGTAATGCAAAGGTTAGAACGGACAGCACTCCCCTTTATACAATCCAAACTTTGGGTCCAATATGTAGATGACAGTTTTAGAACATAGAACATAGAACATTACAGCACAGTACAGGCCCTTCGGCCCTCGATGTTGCGCCGACCTGTGAAACCAATCTGAAGCCCATCTAACCTAAACTATTCCATTCTCATCCATATGTTTATCCAATGACCATTTAAATGCCCTTAAAGTGGGCGAGTCTACTACTTTTGCAGGCAGGGCATTCCACGCCCTTACTACTCTCTGAGTAAAGAACCTACCTCTGACATCTGTCCTATATCTATCACCCCTCAATTTAAAGCTACGTCCCCTCGTGCTAGCCATCACCATCCGAGGAAAAAGGCTCCCACTGTCCACCCTATCTAATCCTCTTTTGGTGATTATTAAATGCACTAAACTGGAAGAAACCCACTGGCACCTAAACAATATCCTCAGCAGGATAAAATTCAAGAAAGAAGAGAACCACCACCAACTACCCTTCCTGGACATAATGGTAGAACACAAAAACAACGGGGAACTCCAGACTAGCGTATATAGAAAGACCATACATACGGACCAAATACTCAATTACACTAGCAACCACCTCAACGCCCACAAACGGAGCTGCATCAGAACACAATTTAAATGAGCCGCAATACATTGCAGCAACCCGGAACTACATAAAGCAGAACAGGAACACTTATACTGAGTATTCAAACGAAATGGATACCCGAAAAGCACAGTCCGCCATTCCACTGAGACAGACCACAACAGGAAGACACAACACGCCCAGAATCACTTATCACCCTACCATACATCAAGGACATTTCAGAGATGACCCCAAGACTACTTGGACCCCTAGGTATCAGAGTAGCCCACAAACTGACAACCACCCTCCGACAGCTACTGACAAAGGTAAAGGATCCCATACCCAAAACCAGCAAAATTGGGGTAATATACAAAATACCATGCAAGGACTGTGAGAAACACTACATAGGCCAAACCGGAAGAAAACTGACTATAAGAATATATGAACACAACTAGCCACCTAGAGGCACGAGCAACTCTCACTTGTCTCACTACACACTGATGAGAGACACAAATTCAACTGGGACAACACATCGATAATCGCACAAGCCAAAGAGAGGCATGTCAGGGAATTCCTGGTGGCCTGATATTCCAACCAGAACTCCATCAACAAACACATTGAATTAGGCCCTGTGTACAAACCACTGAGAAACAAAACCAGAAGTAATACCAATTCCCCAGCAAACAGAGGTATATAAATAACAAGCAGGGCAGAACACCGATGCTTCACCAGAGGTGCACTAAAGATGTTACCTAGCAGTGTGATGAAACGTTAGCAACCAAACCCACTGGCTCGGCGAGCATATCTACAACGCCATACACAACCCAAGCTACAAATCTTCTCAAACTTTAGATACAGCAAGTTGGCGTAGAGGTATAGCAAACAGTTAGGACGGCAAATGGCATGTTGATTTTTATTGCAAGATATTGGGATAAGAAATAAAGACATACTCCTAAAATAGTACAGGGCTTTGGTGAGACCACACCTGCAATATTGTCTACAGTTCATGCCTACAACCTCAACTTGCTGTGTCCCTTGTGTGATCACACCAAAGACTCTGAAAATCAACATTCAACAAGTTTCATGCCTTTAAGAACAATATTCTACTCTTCTGTTCTCACAAAGCAAATAATATCATACTTCCCCATGATCTGCTGCATCTGTCTATTATTGCCCATTCACTTTACCGGTCTATTTCTCCTAATAGCCTGTGCTTTCCCTGCAGTTCACATTTCCACCTTGTTTTATATCACCAGCAAATTTCGATAGTTTTCTGTCTCTGTCCAAATCACTCATTTATATAGGAAATAGCCATGACCCCAGCACTGATACTTTCAGCAGTAACTACAGCCTGCCAATTTGAAAATGCCCCTTTTTATTCATACTGTTCCCTGTCTATTAACCAATCCACTACACATGCTAATACATCATCTCAACTCTTGATATCTGTAAAAGCAGCTGGTATTTGTTTTCACATTGCTGGCTAGTATACTCCCATTCTAGTTTTTTTACCCCCACTCCTATCAACATTCTGAGAGCTAACATTTATTTACGTATTCAAAATCTTGGATATGTGTATAAATTGAAACATCAAACTGACGTCAAATCTGTGTCAGACAATGGTACAATGAGGTCTTATATTTGAAAACTTGTTGAGCTAATATATTTTTTTCGACTGATCTATAATGTATACATTTTACTAGCTGCATTAGTCATTGCTGCGGACATGCGAGTAGGCTAGTCATGGAGGTATGGTCAGAAGGAACCCAAAAAGTAAAGAACATGGTAGCTAATACAACATACTGTAACAAAATATACAATTTAGAACTTTACTGGAAGTAATGCATTTCATAATTGATCTTGCAGGCTGTTATGCCACTCTTGTGTGCTCAGCTGTTAACTAAATATCATTTTCATCATCTCACTGACCTCTTCTTGTCTCATCAAATCGATCATGTCCATGATGCTTATGAAGTGCAGGCAGCGATCAGAGTGATCAATCAAATAGGTAGCAAATGGACGATTTTGCCAAAGACTCCATTCTGACAGAGAAAGCTCATTGATTGCACCACTCTCACGTTCCTGTAACATACAAATATCAGTAACTTGGTAATTATGTAATTAATTTTTACTTCTATTTTTCCCACATGATTGTGGCCTAATTTTCTTTCTAGAATAAAGGATAACGGACATGACAAGGGTTAACACTGCAAGACTTTGTAGTGGAGGTAGAAACGGACTTCAAAATTTGCAAGAGGTTTACGTTTTCAAGAAATAATGTTTTAAAGACCAGTAGGTGTAGCAGTAATAATGAAGAAAAACATCTCCCAGAATTGCATAGGAGCATTAAAAAACACAAACTGAAAACCAAGTCAAAAGAAATGCATGATAGAGTAAGTAGGCATTGCATGAAGGAGGAATGTCTTCAAGAGGTGAAGGTAGTTGATGAAATAAAGACCACAATCATCTTCAGCCACTTCAATGACCTTCACTCCATCATAAGGTCAGAGATCAGGATAGTAGCTGATGGCTGCACAATGTTCAGAAACATTCACAACTCCTTAAATATTGAAGTAGTGCATAGTCTAAATGCAACAAGACCTGGACAATATCCAGAATTAGGTCAATAAACAGCAAATAATATTTGGCCCACACAAGTGTCAGGCAATGACCATCTCCAACAAAACAGAATCCCACCCTCAACCCTTAACATCTGGGGGTTGACAATAACTAGAAACTGAGCTTGATCAGTCATATAAACAGTCTGACGACAAGAACAAGTCAGGGGTTGGGAATTCTACAGTTAGTAACACCTCCCGATTCCTCAAAACTTCAACATCTACAGGGCATGGGTCAGGTGTATGACAGAACACACACCACTTGACTAGATGAATGCAGTTTAATAAGCTTGACACCATCCAGGAAAAAGAATCAGTCCATTTGATTGGCCCCCAAAGCAGCACTTTCAACATTCACTCACTCCACTGACAACAGGGTGCAAGATCTGCAGGATGCAGGGCAACAATCCGCCCAAGCATCTTCAATACCATCATTCTGACTTGAAACTAGCTCTTCCTAACCACCGTTCCTTCAACGCCCCTGGGTGAAAATCCAGGATCCTCCTCCCTACCACCACTGTGGGTGTACTTCAGCCACATGGACAGCAGCAGTTCGAGAAGGTAGCTGACCATCACGTAAGTGTAATTTGAGATGGTAATAAATATTCACTTAGCCAGAGATGTCCATATCCTGCAAATGAATGAAAGAATATAAAAGCATGTAATCTAGATGACCTAAGGGGCATCAATAATTTGGAATGGGGCAGGAGGATACAGAAATAGCCAGAGTGGAGAGCTAGTGATGTTCCAGAATTAGAACAGCCAATAGATAAGGTGATGAGCAAGACTATGAATGCATTTAAGCCTGAAGATGAGAAGTTTACATTTCTGAAGTAAAATCCAAAGAAATGTTTGCAGTGTCAAGATAATGAGGACTCATGGACAGATGCAAGCATCAGTGCATATTGGAGGTGCTGACCCTTAAAGGGGAATATTCGAATTACAGATCCTGAAAATGGCAAAAAGGTACAGATGACAGAAAAGCTAGCTTAAAGGCGAAAGTGTGCAAATTTTTTTAAAGGTGCAAGTAAAATGTTCTTTATGAAGGAGGAGGAGGAATGGGATTCAATAATGGTGGACAGTCTGCCTGAATGAAACAATGATTGGAGAGGCAGATGAAATTGAATGTAAAGGGAGACAAAGGCAATGGCTTCACAGGGAAGGCGATTGCCTAGTCGTAATATTGCTAAACTATTAATCTAGAGACCGAGATAATGTTCTGAGGACTCCAATTTAAATCCCACCATGGCAGATGTATAAAAATCTGGAGTGGAGTAAGCGACTCAGTCCTTTGAGCTTGCTCCATCATTTGGTACAATCATAATACAGAATTATTCTGTTCCTGTGCACCTCTCTCCACTTCACCTGATGAAGGAGCAACGTTCTGTCAACTTGTGATTTTAAACATGCCTATTATATTATAACCTGGTGTCATGTGACTTCTGACTTTGTCCATCCCAATCCAACACTGGCATCTCCACACCTTGGTAAAAATCATGGCTGAAACCATCTCAGTCTCAATTTTCCTATGTGGCCTTTGTAACCCCTTATTCCATTTCTAATTAAACATTGCTCCTCAAATTATCTCAATGCAAATCATTCACTCTGGGGCAGTGAGTTAGAGATTGAAGGCACTTTGAGAGAAGTAATTTCTCCACATTTTTGCTTTAAATCTGCTACTTTTTATCCGAAAGCTATGACCTCTCATTTCAGATTGTCCACAAAAGGAAACATCCTCTCGGTCTACATTGACAATTTCCCTTAGCATCTTACATACCTCAATTAGGTCTCCAGCGTTGAGTCTCAACTGGGCAATTAGGGATGGACAACAAATACTGGCCTAGCCAATGAAACCCACATCCCATGAATTTTTAAAAAAAGTTTCCATATACTTTTACATTTATAATTCAATGTAA